TTCTCGTATTTTTAGCAAATTTTTATTGAAAACAATTTTACGAATGTAATTTAATTTATGTGAAAAATCATGACAATCCAATCACAGATTAAATCAACAATAGTTGATGTAGCAGCAGAATTATAAATTTGATTAACTGGTGCAAATACCGATAACGTAAAGATTTCATTCAATGCTTAATATCATAATCGAGTGCAAGAAATAAATAATCTACAAAGTTTTTGATGTGGTGATAAACATATGGTGATAAAATATAAAACTCAAAAAACTAATAATTTGCATTTTTTGAAAAAAAATCTAATTTTCGCGCAATTTTCACTTATTTTCATCAGTTTGTATGATTATCTTAGATAATTAACTTAAAGTATAAAGTAAAGGAAGTTGTTTTCTGCATATCCTTGAATTTCTCATACATTATCACAGCTTTTATGTGATAGAATTGGCGTGACATTCGGATAAAGAAAGTTATTGTTATTATATCATTATATCCATTGTTAATTCTTCTTCTAACAGCTCTCACTACTGGTTAGGCTAACTCCGTTGACTCCGCTGACTAAGACTTTTATCACGATGTCATCTTTGATAATAAAAAAAACCATTCTTTTTCCATTTTCTAAGCCCATATATTGCTGTTCCACCTCTACGTTCAAAATCTTTCCTGACTGTATCAGAATTTAGATTTTGATTGGACCACCTCGCTTTTACGCCATCCATTAGGGTTTAGCAAATAATGAGATATGCTACAATACTTGTGGTGGACGACGAAGAACATGCCCTAACCACCGAAGGCGACATTATTAATGCAAGTGGTATTTGAAGGAAAATGGATGCGATCTTGTGATATCTTATCCGCTCGACGCATCCGTAGTATGTACCTTAGACAAGACTGGTCAAAGGCAGATAGCTTCTTAATATCCTTCACTCCCATTGGCCATGTCTCAGAGCCATATAGCAAGATCGAACGAATCACGGCTATATAGGTGCAAACTTTCGATTTAATGGTGATTTCACGACGACTCCATAAAGGTTTCATAAAGGTAACCGGAAGAAGCCATTTCTAGCTACCGTGATCCGACTTGTAATATCGTCTTTAGTCTGGCCATTTGGTATAAGATTGGACCTAAGGTATTTAAAATTGGGCATTTCGTCGACCGGCAATGAATTTACAAAAAGAGGCATTTTATCAGTTTTTTGCACATAAGACGAAAAGGCTTTCGTTTTGTGTACATTAGCCTTCAGTCCTATTCTTGCTGTAGTTTCTGACGCGTTATTTAGCATTACTTACATTTCGTCATAACTGTCAGCAAAAAGGGCTATATCGTTAGCGTATTCAAGATCTGTGATACGATGCTCTGCATTGATTTGGACACCCCTTGAATGCCGACAAGCGGTGTCCATTATTATCCAGTCTATCGCATAGTTGAATACTGTGCGGGAAAGGACGCAGCCCTGACGAACACTGTTCTAATTTCGAAGAAGTCTGTCAGCTCCCCATATATACAGATCTGCGCCGACGTACGCTCATAAAATGCCTTTATGAGTCGAATGATCTTCTCTGGAGCACCGTCGCATTCCATCACCCTCCAAGCATCTACTCTATCAGTTGAATCGAAGCCAACTTCAAAGTCGATAAAATACATGATGGTGAGTTGCAGTATTTGAAGCGATGTTCTGACTTCTTTCTTCTTAATGTGAATATCTGGTCAGCACAACTGCGTCCTGGTTTAAATTCACCTTGGTTAGGGCGCATTCTGCTGTCTCGTATTGCCACAAGTCTAATCTAGAAGAGAAGCAATAATTTTTCAGAGACGCCTAGTAGGTCGATTCTTCGTAATTATCACAGTATGTTTTGTTGGCTTTCCTGGAAATTGGGATCAGTGAGAATTGCTTTACTCCAGTCATCTGGTACTATTCCTTTCTTTAATAGCAAGGTGTAAACTCGTCAAAAGTGTGTTTTGAAAGATGATGGATAATGTTTGAAGGATTCAACCCCTCATCTTCTGACCATCTTCTTCGGGGGTTTTATTGGCCTTAAGCTTATGGATAGCAAAGAATAATTTTAGCGGTTTCGCATTTGCAAATATATGGCTTAGTAAATCAGCTATGAAAGCGAGAATAAATAACGCATCGTGGTTAAGCTTGACCTCAAAGAATTCTTTCTCGCTTATGAGGTGATTCTTAAAAAGCCATTACTGTATCATTTCATTGGCAGTTCCCCGAGCTATAGTTTCAAAATAGCCGAATAGTTTCCTATTATTGGCTAATCGAGTCGCCGTCTCCATTTTCAAGGCAATATCACTACTATGGTGTGATTCTATCCTTTATGTTGTAATTCGTTGTTATAATTCTTCAAAGCATCCTACTAAAATATCATAGTATGAAGTGGCTGATTTTCCAAGACAAGCATTTGGGACCAGTATTCATCTGCAGTTCCAGAGATATCGCTGATAAGCTGATATCACTGTTATACATGAACTGAATTTTTTTTTCGTAATTATTCAATACTTTTGTGAAATAGATGTTATTAGCCTTTGTGCCATGCATTCTTTTTGATGAAACTTATAGTCAGCCATCTAAATAATATTCTTAAATGTTTCAAATAGAATAAATAAAGGTGGAGTGGAAAAAGATAGCGCAAAAAAAGGTGCACTGAATTAAAAAAATGCGATAAGAATAAGTGAAGATATAATTTTGAAAAAAATACATTTGTTATTTGTAGATATTGTCAAATTAATGTGATTTTTTTGCTTACATTCATAGCTAAATGAAAGGGACTAAGCGAAACTTTTTCGATAAACTCCCAATCGCCAATAAATTAAAGTGCCAAACATGCCTACTTTTTTTATTAATAAAATCGGTGAAAAAATTCGAAATCATCTAATAATATTGTAATACGGCGATAATGTTTATTTTCTGCAAAAATCGCGAATTTATAAAATCTGAAATTTGCAAGAAAATCAAAATATTTACTCACTTCATTTGAAAAAATGAATGGCGCATTCAGTAATTTATCCTTGTATGAAATAAAGGAAGGAAATATAAAAAATATGAATGAAATGCCTCTTAAAAGAAATAAGAAATTATTTGGAATTTAAAATTGAGTTAAAACGTCGTTCTTCAATTTTAAACATCTAAAACATCCAGCAAGCTAATTTCTCGATATCCTATCGTCTTTCTTGGAAATTGTAAACAAAATTGCATTGTTCCAGTCATATGCCATTTGCTCCTTCTCCTGTGTCAATGAATATAATTTATGCGAATGAAGGACGCTTGGCAACATCTGAAAGGGCAGTAATAAGGGAGTGTAATCAAAATCTTCTGACTTACTTGGCTTTCAGTTTAAACTTATATTGAGTTTTGAGTTTTAATGGGACCATCTTTGGGAAAATTTTCGTATCCTTCTCTTTTGCTGAATACTCTTACGGTAATGTAAAACAACAGCAGGATGACCCTAATCAGACTTAGCTCTAATTGCCTAAAAATAGCTTAACAGCTTAAAATAGCTTAAAATAGCTTAGACGAAATTGGTTTTGTATATTAATTTTATGGATTCCATGGTTTTTTTAATCGAATTTTCTTGATAAATAGAATTTCAAAGCAATTCTTAAAGGAAATTGCACGTTAGATGCAAGAGAAAAGTCCGAAAATATTCGACAACAGCTCAGTGGCAATAAAATTTTAGAAATGAAAAAATCAAATAGCTATCCAAATTCGTTACCAACGACTAATGAACAAAAGCTAGAAGTGCAGGCAGGTGGTGACCATTCGAATTTCATCTTTATTGTTGGTCTACCTCTGCTACAATGTTCAGAAAATGCTGTAGAAGCAGCATTCGACTATACCTAAAATATTTCTCCCTAATATTACATTAAATCGCTCATCTTAATGCAAATAATAAGTAATAAAAAGTTGTAAAATTGTAAAATTGTAAAATTGTAATTGTAATTGTAATTGCTAAAGTTATTTTCTTGATGAATAAATATATATATTTTTGATAAATATATATTGATGAATATTGTTGTTTCGATTAAAAGTTATCGTAGAAAAAAGTTACGAAACTGACTTAGCTGAAATGTGCAATAAAATGATGGATGAACAAGTCTTGGAACGGTTAGCTGATGATTCTTAAATATTCATGAATCTTGAATCGACAGCAATATTTTTAAATGAATTCTCTGTAATTTACATCAATAACGAATAGAACAGTGCAAAAAACGATGCAAAATAAACAAATAAAATTCATTTTATTCTACGGAAATTCCTTGAAAAAAATTTTAACGAAAATACATGAAAATGCAAAAAAATCTCAGTAATCACTGCAAAAACGACTGATAATAATTGCATTTTTCATTACTTCTTTTCATATTCATATCGCTTTTATATCGCTTTTTATTTAATTAGCAATTCTATCGAACTCGTTTTCATTCGTTTCTCAAGAATCATTGAATGTAATTTGCAAGAAATATTTTGCAATAATTAGGCGATAATCTTAAAAAATTGCAAATTTCACACTTTATTATCAACAATATATAAACGATGGACGATAATGCCTGCAAGCTCTCAGTTCATCAGCACGAAGTATACTGTTTTTTTGCAATTGCTTATAATGTTGGTTTGGTTTAATTTAAAAATAAAGTCTGGCTAAATATTTTAGAATTATTCCAATTTTATATCGGTACTTGCATTGCTGTAATTGCTCAACTTATAGTCAGTATAAGTAAGGCAAAATACTTCCTCCAATCTAGAAAATTTTTATTACTTCTCGATGGTACTGAAAATCAAATTGGCAAACGGGCCTTACTCTAACCAGTAGTGTCAGCCAAGCTGGAAATACTTAGTTGTCATAAAAGAGAGAAATGAGCTGATCACTGATTTAAGATGGCTCATGATGAGTGTTGTTAAGAAACTGAAAATATCTCGCCAATATTCCTAAAGAAAAGCAACATATCAAGAATTCTTTCATTGAATTCCTATTCCATAGGAAATTATTTTGCAGGAAAATGATTGCACTCGTTATTCCAATTCTTCTCGCTCTGGTACTTGAAAGCAATGCGGGATGTGCATGCAAGCCTTGCTCTTGTATGAAGCCAAAGTGTCCACCGCCTGTAGTCTGTCCACCACCCATGTGTAGAGTAAGTCTAATTTTTTATATTTTTCATTTGTAGAATGATTACAGTTGACATTGCAGAATACAGTTGATATCACAGTTGACATTTGTAGAATGCAAATGATTGCAGCCACCCAAGACAACCCATGTTTGCTGCAATAAATGCAAAACGCCATGTAGATTTCGCCGTGATGTTCAAGGATTAGATGAAATATTTAACGAAAATATGCATAATGGCTCATCATCTCATATGATTCATATGGCAGAAGATAATTCAGTGTGCAATAACAAACGACTTAAGGAAATAATGATTCAGGTGATGTTACAAAAGTATAAATTTTTTTAGGCTATAATGATTTATAATTTTTTAAACTTTTTTCTCTGCACTCAAAAGTTCTTAGCTGCATCGACTTAGGCTATAGCACTTTAGCCAGCAGCACCTGGCTATAGCACCTTTCGTCAGAGAGCCACTTGAGGGTAGAAGCCGACCATCACCTCGACCAGAAATTTCACATCAAAATCCATTCACGGCAATGTTTTAAACTCATAGCATTACAATGATACACGAAGTATACCATTCTGCTCTCAATTTCTAATACATATCTTCTTCCAGAACCTTTCGAATGATATGGCAATATCAAAAGGCAATATTCAGAATGCAGCTGAGGAAGCAATGAAAGCACATATCAATGTAATCTGTGCCAAGGGTGACCTATCGTATTCGACGCATACTGATTCCTTCTGTCAAGCCGAGAACGACGCAATCACTTGCTACGCTTTTAAAGCGTGAAGCTTAGAAATTGCATCAAAGAGAAATTTTTCACTTTTTTTTTGCCTAAAAATCCTTTCTCTTAGTTTTTCTCTTAGCTTTTCATTTATTCATATCACACTTTTTCAAGAATTACTTTAATTTACTTTAAAAGATTTTTAATAAATAAATTTAATAAAAAAATCATTTAGATAATCTTTATTGGGAAAATCTAAAATTATAAATTATGAATTTATTAAAGAAGACTATTGTTTATTTTTCTGTCATTTGATCCATTTTCAATGATTTTTTGGAAATAAATTTCTGAATAATTGCTAACACTTTTTATGCTTATAATAAATTTTTAATTTTTAAAAATAAATTCACAAAAAATTTTCTCAGCCAAACATCTTTTAAGCAAATTTATAAACAAGACAAAAACAAAGTTATCACACCACAATCGTCCTTCTCTCAGCATCTACCATTTCCAAACTTGCTCGCTCAGTTGACTATTAAGATGAAAGACCTGATCACTAGCGAAACATTTGGAAATATAGGCAGATGCCCCCCACCCCCATTTTATTGCAATATTCAATACATTTGGCTCATTTTTTAACATGGCAACTATTGAATCAATAAAATCCTGCACTGCATCGTTTTCACCTTTTTTAAAACAATATTACTTTCAGCATATATTATTTCCGAAGTTCAGTGATTCTTAAAAGAAGAGCAGATGTCGGGCAGGAAAAAACCTCATCGCGGTTGCAATTTCTCCATCCACTAGATCTGCATTTAACATTGATACCTGAAAATTAAAGAGATAATCTGATTTTCTCCGTTCAGTTGATCTTATCTGGAAAACAAATTCTGAATAGGGAATCATTCTGGCTTTTAACAGAAAAAAAAGCAGTAAATTTACAACGGATGTTGCCAGCACACCACAGACTAGGCGTAGCGAAAGTTGTCGAAAGTTGTCAATCGCATCAGGTGAGGGCAAACTGATTTTTATGTTCGATGGTACTGAATTTGCTTGAGAGTGTTCGATGAATGACAACTCAAAGTTATTATTTCATGGCAGAACACCTTTTTATTTTATTAGGGAACCAACATATTATTCACTAAAATCTTTGAAAAGAAAAGAAAATCATTTTCAGCGAAGAAAAAACCAAAATCGCGCCCATTAATCAAATTTTGACTGCTGCAAAAAACCTGTTTCCCAACTGCTTGATCAATAATCAACACATCCCCCATTACCCAACGCCTCCGTTTTCCGCACTTTTTGCAGCAAAGCCGAAGGTCAAATTAGTACCATAATCGCGATTATAAGGAGAGTCCGCATTTGGTCATTTTCATTATTTCGGCCGCGAATATCAGTCTCCGTATTTGTCGGCTTCAGATTCGGAAGCCGTTGGTGACTTTTCTGAAGTTGTGTGCTCAAATTTTTAGGATTCTGGCCAATTCCTTTGTAGTTTTTTGATTTGTTTTGCTTTATCCTCTTTTTGAAGCAAATTCGATGCTATGTTTATTGGTTCGAGCTGAGATTTTTCGTTGGTTATTTAGTTCAGTCATTCATCGATTTCTGAAGGAAATGATTTGATTAAATACTTGTAAATTTCACTTGAATCTTTTTGAATTTTGCGAGTAGAAATTTTTGAGTTTTTCGTAATTAAAATAGCGTTTTTTAGGTGGAAGGATTGGATCAATGGATTTACTTGGGTTACTTAAAATGTTGGATAATTTAAAACATCTAAAACGACGTGGTTGGGTCGATTTCCATGTAGGTTCGTTTAAAACCGTTCAGCGACACTTCTCGCGTTTTCGATAATTTTTGCTCTCTTCTTGGAATTCCTCCTCTTTTAATGGTTCTTTTAGTGTTCTGAAGTTTCCTACTGGAAAGGACTTTTTTCTGCTTTTTAATGCACATTTCAGTTTATCAAATATTTTTTATCAGGTGCCCGAGCCGGAAACAGTCGCTTGCCACATGTATAGAATGGCAGTGCTTACAATGACTATTGAAGATTCATCGTTAGACCTCTCAAGATGTTTGCGCATGGCTCTGATTCATGATTTAGGTGAAGCTATTGTCGGTGATATTACTCCGCGATGTGGTGTACCTAGTGATGTAAAGCATAGGATGGAAGAAAAGGCGACTTTTTCTTTAAATTTATTTAAATTTAAAAGGTTAAATTTCTTGTAAATTCAAGCTATCGACGAAGAAGCCCTTGGTAGGAGTAAAAATGTTATATATTAAATATATCATATCTTATAAATTGTTAAATTCCTCGATGAACCCACCTATAGTTCCTTCCCCCAAATCGCTGGGAAAAAGTATTTCGTTTCGTTTTAGCTAGTGAATTGGGATCGAATGTTTGAGAAGGAAGGCTCATTTAAATTGCATTTTTTGCCAATGAAAAATTCTTGATTGCTTTATGTTGATTTGCTCATATCAGTACGTTTCCATTGATAGAATTTATTTTTAAGGCAATGATAGAAATATGTCAAATGGTTCCTGAAGTTTGCGGCAACGACTGGTTGGCTTTATGGCGAGAATATGAAGAAGGTAGAACAAAAGAAGCTAATGCCGTTAAACAGCTTGACAAATTTGATTTTATTGCTCAGGCTTTCGAATATGAGCAAAAGTACAATATGGGTAAGTTCGCATGTTATTTTTTATTGTAAATTTTCATGGAAAATTATTTTATTTTTCAGACTTTGAGGAGTTTTTTGAATCCACTCGAAATTCATTTAACTCCGAACCATTTATGACTTGGCGCGATGATTTACTTAGGCAGCGAATGGAATGGAAAAAGGTAAATACAATATCAGATGGCACCACTGTAGATGATAGCGATTCGCTTCTACCTCAAGAATTTTTCAATTGAATACATAAAATTATCCATAATCTCACTTGTATTATTTATGCAAATATTATGTAAATGGCTATCTTAGATTTTACGAAATTTTGATTGGTTATTATTCATAATTCCGAGTGATCAATTTATTTTTCATGAAAATTATATTTTTTAAATTTTTATGAGTAAATTGTAAATTGTTTAGCCAATTAAAAAGTCGTATCATCGAATCACTATTTATTTTTTATTTTTCTTTTTAATAATCTTTTTAATTTTTATGTTAATATTAATTTTAATATAAATTTTTTAATTTAATTTCGAATTTCTTTTCTGAATTATTATCTGACTTGAATTCTTTATCAGTGCAAAGTGATAGTATTTAAAAAGCTTTTAAATATGCTGGTTTAATTTAATGTCTAATTTTTACTCGTTAATTTCACCGTTTTTTAATTTTTTTATTTGTTGATTTTTAAATTATGAATAAATTTTTGTTTTTATTTTCTTTTTTAAGCCTTATAGGGTAGGATATCTATGTAATTACTTTTGTTTTTGTTTTGTCATTTTTTATTTTTTAGGAATCGGGCAAAAAAAAATCATAAATAAATAAAAAATCATAACATAAATCTATCGTTTGAATTATTACAGTGTTATTAAGATTAAGATTATTTTCAAAGAATTGATTATTTAGAGATTCATATAATAATTTTTTATTAAATTTAAAGGACAATGAGGAATCTTGAAATAAAACGAAAACTTGCGGATGAAAAAAGTCGATCAGAGGCCGAAAAAAGGCAAAAGCAAGAAGTGCATGATAAAGATATGATTAGTGCACCAGATGATTATGAAGTTTGGCTGATCAGAAAGCCAAAAAAGGTATAAGTTTTAATTTGGACAAATGGGCTTTCATCATTCATAAATTTGGGCGGATGTGTTGCAGATGAACCAACGATTGGGAAATTTACTATATTTTTCTCAAAATTATTGAAAAAAAAAGGCAAAAAAGATTGAAAATGATAGGATTATAAAATTCGCTTTTTGCATTTTTTTAAAATTTACTTTCAAATAATAGGAAATTTTTAAATTTTGAAAATTTATAATTGCTTAGGAGGTGCTTTCTTTAACTTTAATAATTGCGATATTAACAATATTAATTTTTCACAGGTATCGTTGGATGATTTGTCAGATTTGCGAATACCGAGTGAATCCAGCGGAAAAATTAGCATAAAAAATGATTTAAATGATCTAACATTATGTTATCAATTTGTTACACCATGTGAATCCCAGTTATTTTATGTTCCTGCAGTAAATGTTCAAGATGCAAAAGATGTTTTGGATCTTAAAGCGAGTTTGTCATTTTCTTCTGAATTTCTCAAAAAATCCAGACAATTTTCGATGGATAGGAAGCACAAAAAAGTAGATAATTATATTTTTCATTGACGAAGAAATTTTCTAAAGTTTTTTGATCAGTATATTTCGACGAAAGTTTTCGTAAAATATTTCTTAAGTACATTATAAATTTTTATTATGCAAATTATTGTTTTTTTATAGCTGGCAAAGTGCATGGTTTGGTGTTAATAACTGAACAAAATTCAGTCAATATGTCCAGTAGTTCAGGTTTTTTTTTAAAATTCGCCAAATATACCTTAAATGGATGAATTATGAATTAAACGATATATTTAGAAATATTGTGTTCGTTACTTTTAGATTAAGTACTGCAGGTTTTGAACTATTTAAAATTTTAATTCCAAGCTATCATAAGTCCAGTTTTCACGATAAGGGCAAAGTGATGCTAAGTACCTATCCATATTTTAAATAACTCTAAATAACTCTTTTAAATAACTCTTTTGAAGGATTTTAATATATCTATATTTTTTTGTAGTAAGAAAACGTTATACTTTTATTATTAAAAAAACTTTCAGATTTACTTACTTTTTTTATAATTTATAGCATTTAATCAATTTAGAAGCAAATTTTAAAGTTAGATCGATACGAAGAAAAGTAACTTTGCCGAAAAAAATGAAAGAACGTTTGCAAGCTTTTGGCGTTATACCGAAAAAGAAAAAAAGGAGGAAATACATGCTACCTAATCTTCTACAGAAACGAAATTGATATCAAGAATTTTTGTCTTATCTTATCTTATGTTAATATCTTTATCCTATAAAAAATATTCAAAATGTTCCAAAATTTTTAACTTAGAAAAATTTTTAACTCAGAAATTTTTTATTACTCGGAAGATTTTGATAACTGAAATCTAACCTATTCTTAAAAAAACTTTTCTCTTACCCCCTTGGGTGGCTATGATTAACCTCAGATCAACCTCAGATCTTTTACCAGAGGCCTGGGTGACTGAGGGTAATAATGTGCTCTTCTGGATAGAGATGTCTGATGTTATTCCTGGGATCCAATGAAGCCATTTTCCTAGTTTAGAGGTTACAACTCCATGTTCTTTAATTGTCATTGGAATTACTTTGGCCTTTACTTTCCACATCTTCTCTAGTTCATTTTTCAGTCCTTGATATTTCTTTAACCTCTAACTTCTCATATTCCTTTTTTCTGACGTTCCTGTCTTAATATTAGTGATCTATATCAGTGATTTCAAATTCTTGTCTATTACATCAATATCTGATTGATTGGCCAGCACTTGTTTGCTGTTTCGTTAGGGAAGGTTTTTCACAGGATTTTCATGCTATTATTCTTCATGATTTTCTGTTGAAAATCATGAATTTTCTGATGAATTTCTAATTTAGTATTGGGAGGGTGAATTTAAGCTATATGCGATCTTTCTCTAGGTAGTACCAGCTACTTTGTATGCCTTTCAGTGTTGTTCCTGCGTTATTCTTGCTTGCATTTTATATCTTGCCACTATGTGTTGGATTGTTTCTGGGGCGTTTTTGCAAAATCGGCATCTGGAGTTCTGTCCATTGTGGTAGATCCTTGTTTCGATGAATCTGGTGCTTAGTGTTTTTTGTTGCTATAATCAATGCCTTAGTATTGCCTTTTAGTTCGGCTTTCTCCAACCTCTGGTAGGATTTCGAAGTACCAACTATCTTAGTTATCTATCCATGGTGAAATCCATGGACGATATACTAAAGATATAAATATTATAAAGATATATTAAGTATCACATTAAGACATAATAAGATATCTAAAGATATATTAAATACAAAAATTTAAAAGCTTTGAAATTCTGCAAGGCTGATTTAATTATGGTTCATAGGATTTTGTATAGATTTATTGTAGGATATTGTATTGTATTGTAGGATATTGTATCAATCTTTAATCAGTTTAATTTTCTTTTGATCTTTTTTGAATTCCAGTATAACTTCTCTTCTCTTCTTCTAACAGCTCTCACCATTTCTGGTTAGGCTAACGGCTACAAGGGTAAGACGCTTCCAAGCGACTCGATCTGATGCCATCGTCGACAATAATAAAAGCCATTCCTTTTTCCATCTTTTAAATCCATATATTGCTGGTCCACCAACACGTTCAAAATCTTTCCTGACAGTACCAGTCCAGGTCTTTATTGGCCCACCTCGCTTTTGACGTCATCCAATCACACGATTTAGCAAGTAACGAGATATGCTACAATACTTGTGGTGGACGAAGAACATGCCCTAACCACCGAAAGCGACGCTCTGTGATAACATTATTAAATGCAAGTGGTATTTGAATGAAGATGGATGCGATCTTGTGATATCTTATCCGCTCGACGCATTCGTAATATATACCTTAGATAAGAGTGGTCAAAGGCAGATAACTTCTTAATATCCTCCACTCTCATTGGCCATGTTTCAAAACCATATAGCAAGATCGAACGGATCATGGCTATATAAATGCGGACTTTCATTTTTATGGTGATTTTACGAAGACTCCATAAAGGTTTTGTCAACCGGAAGAATACATTTCTAGATGCCGTGATCAGAGTTCAGAATATAGAGTATATCATCTTTTGCCTGTTCATTTGGTATTAGAGTGGACCTAAGGTATTTGAAATCGGGCATTTCCTCAACCGGCAATGAATTTATACAAAAAAAGCACTTTATCAGCTTCTTGCACATAAGACGAAATGACTTTTATTTTATTTACATTGATCCTGAGTCCGATTCTTGCTGCAGTTGCTGACACTTTATTTAGCATTACCTGCATTTCGTCATAACTGTTAGCAAAAAGGACTACATCGTCTGCGTATTCAAGATCTGTGATATGATGCTCTGGATTGATTTGGACACCCTTTAAGTGTCGATAAGCGATGTCCATTATTATCAGTCTATCGCATAGTTGAATATTGTGAGACGCAACCTTGACGGACACCAGTTCTTATGTCGAAGAAGTCTCTCAGTTCCTCATATTCACAGACCTGCGCCGACGTATGATCATAAAATACCTTTATGATCTTGATCTTCTCTGGAACACCATCGCATTCCATCATCCTCCAAAGCGCCTATCGATCAATTAAATCAAATTAAATCGAAGACAGCCGCAAAGTGGATGAAAAGTCGAAGTCGAAGTTGACACGTGACAATGGGTTGCAAATATCTGAAGCGGATGTTCCAACACCTTTTTTAACGTGAATATCTGGTCAGCACAACCGCGCCCTGGTCTGAAACCAGCTTGATTAGGGCGCATCCTGCGGTCCCATATTTCCATAAGTCTGTTGAGTGGCAGGGAAGCAAAAATTTTTGCTGAGGCGTCTAGTAGGCTGATTCCTCGATATCGCACTATGTCCTATCACCTTTCTTGAGAATTGGGAGCAGAATTGCTTTGCTCCATTCATCTGGTAATATTTCTTTTTTCCATACTAAAGAGTATATTTGTTGAAGGTTATGGACGATAGACAACATTTGAAAAGCTCAGCCCGAAGACCATCTTCTCCTGGAGTTTTGTTGGCCTTAAGTTTATGGATAACTGAAATTATTTCTTCTTCTGTTGGAGGCTCGCAATTGCAAACGTATGCTTCGGCAAACTATCAGCTATATAAGAGGCAACAGATGGCGCTTCATGGTTAAGTTTGGCCTCAAAGAATTCTTACG